GGGGGGGGGGGGGGGGGGGGGGGGGGGGAGAGAGTTTGAGAGATCACCCAAAGGACTTGCATGCAGGCATATAAGCATAACCAGACACAGACACTAGGGGGGTGAGGGTATGTGCTGGGGATAGGGGTGGCTGGGGAGAAGTCAATGGGGGAAAAAGGAAACATATGTAATACTATATGTAGTACTTTAAACAATAAAGAATTTTTTAAAAAAATACTCATTACTATTATGAACTATAAATTTATCTGAATTCAGTTTATTGACAAGCAGGGCAATAAAGGGCTAAATTTTTATATGATACAGAATAAACTAAGATTTGTCACTAATTTTACCTTCAAATAAAGCCATTTAAGAATCACAATTTAATAAGTGCTGGAATTTTTAAAATAAGATTTTAGAGAGTGCTTCTTTTTTCATTAATAGATTCAAATTCCATCTTACTCAAAATCACTAAATTTGTAATCCTAAGCAATTCTTTTTACTTCAGGAGTAAATGCTTTAAAATTAGTTATTACCCACCAATTTGGAGGAGAAGAAGTTTCCTATTACAAATAATGATACATATTCTATATGAATGGTCTCTCAGCCTAAGTACCACACTACCAGGACACCTCACCTCCTGTTCAGATGGCATGTGGGCATGTAAAACAGACATGCCCAAACTAACCCCCTAAATGTATACACACACTTTGAATAATTATAAAGGCAGTGTTTATTAAAATACATTCATTTTCAAAATTGAGCTATCAGCCTTAGCTATCAGCACTGAGCAGTGGTTAGAGCTTCGGCCCTTCAACTGAAGGGTCATGGGTTCAATTCCAGTCAAGGGCACATGCCAGGTAGGTTCAATGCCCAGCCCCAGTGGGGTGCGTGCAGAAGGCAACCAATCAATGTGTCTCTCTCACATTGGTATTCTTTTCTCTGTCTGTCCCACTTCCTTCCACTCTTTCTAAAAATCAAATGAAAAAATATCCTCAGGTAAGGATTAACAAAAAAAATTAAAAATTGAGCTATCAGCTGTTAAAGTGTATATACATTTTTAAGGACACCCTGTATAGTTTAAGAATCTTGATTGACAGGAAACTGTGATAAAACAAATACTATCATTGAAATCTCATTTATTTGATCAGATAGTGGATTGTCATTACTACCTCTTACTACCAGTAAGGAAAAGAGAGCCAATTTTCCTTTGATTCATCTCTGAGAGCAGTTTAAATCTGGAGTTTAACATAATGAAAAGGATGGAGACCAACTGAAGCATACATGGCCCACCTAAGGGGGCAGCCATAACTCAGCTCCAGCTGACTGCTCAACGGGGACTGTCAGGAACTCACTAGCAGATGCAATGTGACTCCAGCAGTAAAGGTGTCTGGAAAATGTTGGACTCTCTGTGTTTAACCTTCTGTGACTGTTTACTAGTAACTCTCTGTAGCCTCAGGTCAGCTGACTACCCAGAAAACCAGAATTCTGCCCAAAGGTAAATGTCATGTTCCCAGGAAGGAGGTTAATGAATGTGTAGTGTAGATAACTGCCTGATATTGTGTTAACTTAGAAATGCATTGTTTTTTCTGATGGTCTATGTAACTACCTATGGTTTTACCATTAACCCCCTACAAAAAGGAGTTCCTGTCCTGGGACATATGATCTTTTCCAGGCCGGTCACTGGGAGCAGCTGCTTTGCCCGTGTATGTTAGTTTCTCCTATTAAAACTCATGAATTTGAACAAGGCTCCGTATGAGTTCTTTGGAATTGATCCTAAATTTAGATTTTGGGGGCTTTCCCCCAAGGACAGGTAAAGCAGCTATTATCAGACCTCATTTATAACTTTCAGTTTTTTGTAAAGCAATGTACAAGCCTACATGTGGCACACAGACTTGATCAGTTTATTAAATGTACCTGCTTGTTTGCTCTAGTATACTTCCAAGTTGACTCTGACATGCAGGATTGTGCCATTAAGTGTCTCTCAAATGATATACTATTCGTAGCTGACATTCTCTGCAAGCAAAGGAGGAAAGACTATGTGTTTCAGGTCACTTTGTATGACTCCTGCAGAGCAGTGAACATAATTATGCATGTAAAAAATGTTCTTACCAGAGTCATCTACATCAGACTAAAAGTTGGTATCAAATCATTTAGTTTGGCCTAAATATTTTATGAACTAGAAATGTATAGACTTCGCCCTTCTCTCAGATTTCTATATACATATAATTTCTACATATATCTCGGATTTCTATATACATATATATAATTTTAAGGAGTTCTAATTGGCCAGAAACACGAAAAAAACAAATATTAAAGTTTCACCCTCCACCCACCTCCACACATCCAAGCAGTGAATGGCCATTCAAGTCTGAACTGAGAGCTGAATCCCTAAAATAATCAAAGACAGATCTATTCCTGCATCTACAAATCAGGCTGATGACACATGAAAATTATTTTCTTTAATTAATTTTTTATATATTTTCATTGATTTCAGGGAGGAAGGGAGAGGGAGAGAGGGATAAACATCAATGAGAGAGAATCATTGATCAGCTGCCTCCTGCACGCCCCCTACTGGGGATCGAGCCTGCAACCTGAATATGTGCCCTTGACTAGAATCGAACTAAGGAGATCTATCCACTGAGCCAAACCCGTCTAGGGTGACACATGAAAACTCTTTAATATGCCAATGAAAAAACCAAGAGTGAAAACATTCTTTCCAAATAGATAGGGACTCAATAAAAAAATGAAGGTGATATCTGGAGGATGACTGGTACATGGTGGTCTTAACTGTCTCTAAATAAAACCCAAATCAAATGGCCTCATGTGGTTTTGAGGTCTCTGATCTACACATGATTATTTGCTACCACATTGAGATTATTGAACCACACACTAGTATATTATCCAAAGACCAAAATGGGAATTTAATAAATGAATTCCTCCTTAACTACAAAGAAAATACAGATAACTAACTCCAAATTACCCAAGCTAATATGGAGACAGGAGAGAATAAAACATGAGATATAATCAGAAAATTGCTTATATTAAAAAGTATCTTTAATGTTAGCAAATATGAAAGTTGGCAACTTACTGAAAATTCCCAAAACATTAAAAAATAATTTTAAAAAATCACCTGAATAAAGATCTCTCTATTCACCCTCCCTATCCTGTTTCCATCTCCACAGTATATGTGAATTATAATAAACCTGCCCCCAACTTTGGCTTTTGCTATTATTCTCATATGCAGCCAGAGACATTGAAATAATAACTTGCTAATTTCCTCCTCTAGGAGAAAAGAAAGTGGCTTATAAATTCCCATTGATGAATACAATTTGAGAAAATACAGTATTTAACTATATTAACAAGATTAGTAAGATAACAGGGCTACTAAGACTTGGACACAAAATCTGCTTCTCAAAACTTGGTACAGATGAAATCAATGTTTATTACAGTTTATAGATATATGAGAGGCTAAAAAATCTCCAAAAAGAATATAAACTGGTACACTATCCATAAGTTAAGTGAATCCATGGAATTCCATGCCTATATCTCTGTTAAGCACAACAAATAGGAGGATTAGAATTCCACTAAAGGTAATTCAGAAGTGGGAGTAACTATGACATACACATGGTGAAATATTTTTTTAAAAGGTCTTTTATTTCATTTCCCTTAAAAACTGAGTACTTCTATTAGTACCATTTTCTTTCCATCTTTAGGCAAAGTGGCTACCTAATATGCAGAAATTAATACCACAATCTTTATTCCAACAATCACAATAAGACCTAAAAATTAGCTTAAAATTTAACTTCCTCCATGATTTACATATGAATAACATGAATAAAGTTATGTATTATTTAAAGTACCTCTACATAAAACCATTCAGTGTTGATATTAATAAACTGTTTTTAATAAATGACTTATTTTATTAAAAAATAAATTCCTTTAAAATGCACTTTTCAGTTTTTACTTTTATGATTTCTTTGCATGTACAAATGTATATTATGTCCACCATTTAGCTAACCTATAATATAAATTTTTCCTGCACACATATAGTCACACACATATACAACATAAAATCCACTTAAATTTCTTCTATTCTAACTTTTCTGAATGTTATAGTATAAAAATAAAAATACCAAAAGCAAATAAATCATCATGAAAACCTTAACATTTTAAATGCAAATGTTTTATAAAATTAACCTGTACAAACACTAAAAGGATGAATATGCAAAAAGTAAAAACATTTTTTTACTGAGTATTACAGAAGCTTCATTTTTTTTCTAAAGAAACAACTTCTAGAGATGGGAAGAATTGGGAACTGCATTGTTTACATTATGATTAACATCCACACTACTCAAACTTCAACAGTTCAGGGGCCAGATAAAAATGTTTTTGGCCCACTAAAGATTGAAAGATGGAAATTAAAGTACTAAGGAAAATCCTTTGTAAAGTTATAGCAAATTTAAAACATTTAAAAGTATCTGGATTCTGAAAAATTGAAACCAATATTTCTTTTGTTAAGCACTTTCTTTAAAATGCTGATTATTCATCCTAAAGAATGTACTACTTAAAACCACCACTAGATGACAACCTTGCTTCACAAATAAAATACTATCATACTAGTATTGGAAGCTAAGACTCCAAAGATGTACTAAATTATTAGCTTTAAGTTTCTGACATTTGTGGCTTTGTTGTTGTTGTTGTTTTGGGGGAGTAGAGATAGCAAAGGAAATAAAATAGGCTATTATAGTTTTAGAATTTGTGTTTGCTATGAAGATCACACAGGATTTTTAAAAACTCATTTAATAAGCATTCAAGAGATCTATCTCCTCACAAGAAAAACAAATTGAAGTATATCAATAAGATGATTTTTCTCTCCTATTCTCTCCCACATTCATCCTTTGGAAACAGAGACTTATAAAAGTACACATAATTTATTAGAGATTAATGTTTTTTTTTGCAGTGAAATAGCTACAAAGAGTATTTTCAACATTATTTCAATAGCTGCTTTTCTCTGACATCAAAATAAATAAGCATGATAATTTTTAGATAATAACTGTACGAACATAGGTGACAATAAATCACAACTATTTTTTATGACTCACTTTCAGATATTAAAATATTTCCCCCATACATATATCAACTCAAGAAGACAGTATCACTAGAATGTTTATTTGGCATAAAAAAAATTATAATAGCTGAGCAAATAAACATTTGTAAACCCCTTGAAACTCCATAATTGAGATATTACAAAGTATTGTGGCAATGGGCACCTATCTATGTTATTATTCATTTTTGCAAACCATACTTTCACATAAATTTAGAAGTATAAAATGAAAGCCTGGATATTTTTACTTTCATTAGAGGTTATAATTTATGTCCTTCCTTTAATTCAACATTTTCATACTTTAATTCAGAAGCAGAGCTAAGGTTATTTTTTAACTCGTTTTAACATGTAAGATTATATATTCCTGTCATATTTTCTCAGCACAGAGGTGATAACTATAAAAGCATATGTCAGGTGGAAAGGTCACTTCAGACCTGATGCCCTGTGCAGTGACCACGGCAATACATCAGTACCTGCAGAGTCCATGCCAAGGACCTGTCAGGGTTCACCCCAGGAGACTGCATACTCAGTTAAAAGTTTACTTAAGAAACGCTATTTAAAAATGCATGATATCATAACAAAATTTAGAAGGCATTTTTTTATAAATAACTTGGAGAGACTGTCATCTAATCTGTTTAGAACTAGATACAAATATCAGCCTCACCCTTGAATACATGTGGGATCCTAGGCAACTTATCTTCCTGTGCCTCAGTTTCCTCCTCTAAAGAAGATGGAGCCATTACTGGAAATACTGACCGATAGAGTTGTTCTTAAGAATAAATGAGACAGCATGAAATACTTAGCACATGTCTGCTAAAAAGTAGATGCCAAATAAATATTGGTTTTCTTCCTTCTTAAACACTGTAACCTTGGTGCTTATTCTAGAAAATATTTTCAAAACATAATGATACTCAAAGATGTCTTCTGGGTTTTTAGAAGAAAGCAAAAGAATAAAATTTGCCTGACAATAAAGGGTATTTCCTGCCCTAGCCAGTTTGGCTCAGTGGATAGAGCCTTGGCTGGCGGACTGAAGGGTCCTGGATTCAACTCTGGTTAAGGGCATGTACCTCAGTTGCAAACTTGATCCCCAGCCCTGGGCACATGCAGGAAGCAACAATCGATGTGTTTGTCTCACATGAATGTTTCTTTCTCTCTGCCTCTCTACCTCCCTTCCATTCTCTCTAAAAATCAATGGAAAAATATCCTTGAGTGAGGATTAACGAATGAATGAAGGCTATTTCCTCAAAGGCTACAATTAATAGTCAAAAGTGTATGCACATATTATAGGAAGACTGAACTACATATTTCTATAATACTAACCACCTAGAGTTCACTGAGATCTGAAGGAAAAAATGTCAACAAGATTTAAAGAATTTTATTATTTAATTTCTTAAAATCTTCCAATTTTACACATATGGATAAATATGCAGTTTTTAGGGTGTAATAACATAGTTTATAACAATAAGAAAATCAGTTATTCCATGAGAATGTGCAACTATTTCTGCCCCAAACAGAATTTCCAATGCAAAATACATTGCCATCATTTTTGCCTAATCTACCATTTATGTCAATATTTAAAACAATGATGTCAAGAAACAACTGGGAAGTAATAAGTTTAAAATTCTACAGCACAGAGAATTATAATATCTAATTTTCAAATCAGACATTTTATAATTTACTTATAATTTAAACTAATACTATTCATTCAAAAATTTAAAAATGAAAATCTACTTCAATTACCATACCCAATTATATCAAATATCTATTTGTCTGTAGTGTACATAATCATATATTGTACCACCTAATAGCATAACAATTCTTCATAAATTAAAATGAAATGAAAATAAGACCTAAAAATCTAAAATAGTAGTCACTTAAATATGCTATTAAATAAAATAATTCTGCCAAGAGTGAAATAGTATATATATAAATGATATACATATCATTTAGTCAAAAAATAAAAATTAATAACTTTAATTTCTTTAAAATGTATCTTAAATATAAAATGCTTGGCAGTAATTAAATTTTTGGATATTAAAATGCTGCAAAGAAATTTTAAATTTTTAATTTTTTAGCTTAGAAGACATGTTTTAAACATATACCCATACCTCTCTGTAGTGGGCTGAATGGTGATAACCAAATGTTCTAATTTCTGGAACCTGTGGATGTTACTTTATTTGCAAAAAATGGTCTAACAGATGAAAGTAAGTTAAGGAACTTGAGATGATTATCCAGGTAAGCCCTAAATCCATTGATAAGTGACCTTATAAGAGAGAGGCAGGAGTTTTGAGACAGACACACAGAGGAGAGGCCGTATAAAGATGAAGGCAGATATTGGAGTGAAATCTCAAACCAAGGAATGTCAGCAGCCACCAGAACCTGGAAGAGGCAAGTAACTGATTCTCCCCTGTTCCTCTGGAAGGAATACAACTCTGCACACACCTTCATTTCAGACTTCTGGGCTGCAGACTTGTGAAAGTACATTTCTACTGCTTTAAGCCACCCAGTTTGTGGTGGTGATTTGTGATAGTAGCCATAGAAAATGAATAAATCTCTTATGAATTTAAGTAATTGTTTGAGAAGTATTGATTCAATTAAATAATAAAAAAAAACTTGTGAAAGGTCATTTTTAGAACAATCTATGAAAATGAACATATTCTCTTCCATTTAAATGCCTTGACTCATTAATTGTTCCTGAATGAATTCTTTCAGTGAATTTGTTTGATTTGTTTAAGTCTACAAATAATAAAACATGAACTGTACAAAGGTATAATTAAAAATTGATAGTGGGCCGCCCTAATTGGTTTGGTTCAGTGGATGGAGCATTGGCCTGTGAACTGAAGGGTGCCAGGTTCAATTGCGGTCAAGAGCACATGCCCGGGTTGCAGGCTCGATCCCCAGTAGCGGTGTGCAGGAGGCAGCTGATCGATGACTCTGTCTCATCATTGAAGTTTCTATCTCTCCCTCTTCCTCTCTGAAATAAAAAATTTTTAAAAAGTTGATAGTGGTCCCTAGCCTGCATGACTTGGTGGTTAGACTATTGGCCTGCACACTGGAGGGTCTCAGGTTCGATTCCCAGTCAAGGACATGTACCAGGGTTGCAGGTTCCATCCCCAGCCCTGGTCAGGGAGTGAACCTGGTCAAGGGATGTGTGCAGAAGGCAACCAATTGATGTGTCTCACATGGATGTTTCTCTCCCCCCACCCCTTCCACCCTCTCTAAAAATCAATGGAAAGATATCCTCCAGTGATGATTTAAAAAACAAAACAAAAAAAACTTGATAGGACCAGTATATCCTTTAGATAGATAGATAGATAGATAGATAGATAGATAGATAGATAGATATAGAGATATATTTAAGTTTGAAATTATCCTAGAATAAAGTTATAAAAAAGTAAATAAATAGACTAATTTTGTACAAAATTTTCTGCAATAGATCTTTTCACTTAAGAATATATGATGGCCAGTCATTAGAGGAATGGCAGCGTGAGAAAGACCCTTGTCCTCCCCAACCCTGAAATTTCAACAAGTTAACCAACTATCATTCAACAAAAAAATCCCTGCTCAGTATAGACATATGCTTGAGAGACCTGCACATTGAAATATCTAAAGGTAGGCAAACAGGAATAAACAGGGAAACGAGAAGGGAGGAAAGCGCAAATAGCCCGCAGACACAGCCCTGCACTGGGAGCTCGCTCTGCAGCCAGAAGAAAGGAAGCAGGGCAAGGGGGTGAGGGAGGGAACAGTGTCTGAGTGACAGAGAACAAAATTCTGCCATGTGGCTCTCCACTGATTCCTGGTCAGGGAACATGCCCAGGTTATGGGCTCCATCCCCAGTGAGGGGTGCACAGGAGGCAGCCGATCGATTATTCTCTCTCATCATTGATGTTTCTCTCTCTTCCTCTCCCTTCCTCTCTGAAATCAATAAAAAATATATTTTAAAAAAAATGATTGCGTTCTGAAAATACTCAATAAGATGGAAGAAAATGCAGACAGGCAGTTCAATGCATTCAGAAAATCAATGAACAAAAACAAGTACTTTACTAAAAAGATTGAGACTTTAAAAAAGAATCAATCAGCCCTAACCGGTTTGGCTCAGTGGATAGAGCGTTGGCCTGCGGACTGAAAGGTCCCAGGTTCGATTCCGGTCAAGGGCATGTACCTTGGTTGCGGGCACAGCCCCAGTAGGGGG